TTTTCTTTGTCTCTCTTTTTTCTTTGTCTCTCTCTTTCTCTTTGTCTCTCTCTCTCTCTTTTGTCTCTCTCTTTCTGTTTGTCTCTCTCTTTCTGTTTGTCTCTCTCTTTCTGTTTGTCTCTCTTTTCTGTTTGTCTCTCTTTTTCTCTGTCTCTCTCTTTTTCTCTGTCTCTCTCTTTTTCTCTGTCTCTCTCTTTTTCTCTGTCTCTCTCTCTCTCTCTCTCTCTCTCTCTCGTTTCGAATAATGCCCTTTCTTTTTTTTCTTTTTCTTTTTTCTCTGTCTCTCTCTTTTTTTTTCTCTCTCTCTCTCTCTCTCAACAGTTGATATGTTTGGCGCAATTTCATCTCTCTATGCTCATTTCCTTTCATACCAGCTTGATTTAATCTTTTGGAGCATGTTCAAATTAGGAATAAAAATGGAGGTAACTAAATAAGTTTTAAAATATCTTTAAAGCTATAGATTTCTAGAGAAAGAAGATTTTTTTTTAAAACAAACCGCTAACATTTTCCATTTAGATTCAAATTTCCAAGTAATTATTCACATCGGCACGGGTGAAGAGAAACATCCAAAAAGCAGTTAAATAAATAAAACGTACGTCCCTGTATCAACCCATCGTTGCTCCCCCAAAATTATGCACTTGCCGGCATAGATTCCGTCAGTAGTATCGTTAACGCGCATGCGTATGCAGGAGTTATGACATATGCATATTTAGGCATCTTGAATTCCTACATAAATGACACACACACACACACACACACAAAATCCATATTATAGACAGATCATGAAACTGTCACTTAAAGGCGACGATTGTCCGTTTTTAGAAACATTTAAAAGACCGGCGTTGAGTCGTATAGGGAATCTGGTATTTGATACCGTTTAAAGATAGGATGTTTCCAACCACTTTTGCCTCCAAGCTTCTGAAACTTTTACTAAAGTGACATTTACTTTTGCCCCGATTTTAGCAAATTGAATTTTACACGCGAAGCAGTTTTTCTCTTTTTATTTCCTTTTTATTATTGAAATTACTACTTGACTCTTTCACACGCAATTTTTCACATTAAGAAACGCTGATTTTAGTTGTCAGTCGCTACCATGGTCAAGTAGCTGTTTGCATGTTTCACACTGTGTGATATATATATATATATATATATATATATATATATATACACACACACACACACACACACACACACACATCCAAATACAGGGTTCGTACAGATGAAATAAAATTTCGAAAAACAAAAACACTATTCTTAAAAGAGTGCTCAATGCAGAGTGGAGCAAATAATATTTAAGAATTATAACATTACTACAAAAATAGCCATTTCGTTTCAACATTTCTGGAGTTGTATCAAGTGATGATGATGATTGCAAAATAAAGAGTGAGTGGGTTTGGTTGGTTTTGAACTCTTAAAACTCTATTTTGCAATCAACACTATCACTCGACAAGATACCAGAAGTGTTGAAACAAAATGGATATATTTGTAATGATGTTATAACATGCATGTTACAATTTTTATAAACATACGTATATATAAATCATATATATATATATATATATATATATATATATATATATATATCCTTTTATAACATTTTTTTGGATGTAGCATTTTCTTTTTCAGTCAGTCTTTATTTGACAATCTACTAATCGGAGGTCGTGACGGGAAAACCTTCTCCAACGTCATCGTTCCATCAAACGCTTTCTTGTACTACTTAGTGAACGCAGCGTTTCAGTATGACTGTAGTGTAAACTGTAGAACCAAGTCATTTTGTTGAGTGTGTGTGTGTCTTTGCTTCATTATTCGAATTTCAGAACACTAATTGCAATGTTTCTCTTTGTTGAAGTCGTAAGCGGAAGTCATTCATTTCACTTCAAGTTATCAAAGCATAAACAGGAAGATTATGTTGCCACAGTCTTGGCTGAAGTTAGTCTTGTTGGAACAACGTTTTATTCCAGTTGTTATAACACTTGAGATAACATGAGATTTATCACTGACAAACACTTTGTTCTTTTCTTTTCGTTTTCTCTCTTTACCCAGAGATGAGCGAAAAGATAGACCCAGACAATGAAGCGCCGAAAAGGACGCTTCAACAGCTCATATGCGTTCTCTCTCTCTCTCCCTTGCTCGCTCTCTCGTATACACTCCCTTGCTCGCTCTCTCGTATACACTCCCTTGCTCGCTCTCTCGTATACACTCCTTCTTGCTCGCTCTCTCGTATACACTCCTTCGTCGCTCGCTCTCTCGTATACACCCTTCGTCGCTCGCTCTCTCTTAGACACTCCTTCGTCGCTCGCTCTCTCGCTATACACTCCTTCGTCGCTCGCCTTCTCGTATACACTCCTTCGTCGCTCGCTCTCTCGTATACACTCCTTCGTCGCTCGCTCTCTCGTATACACTCCTTCGTCGCTCGCTCTCTCGTATACACTCCTTCGTCGCTCGCTCTCTCGTATACACGCTCTCGCTCTCTCTCTCGTATACACGCTCTCGCTCTCTCTCTCTCGTATACTCGCTCTCTCGTATACTCGCTCTCTCTCTCTCTCGTATACTCGCTCTCTCTCTCTCGTATACACGCTCTCTCTCTCTCTCTCTCTCGTATACACGCTCTCGCTCTCTCTCTCTCTCTCTCTCGTATACACGCTCTCACACACATATGATTTTCAAACCAGTTGAGGTAGTTTGCATTCATTTCGCACTCCTTCTCTTAGGAAAAGCAGGATCCACCTCTTTCCAGTCGTGGATAAATAAAATAGTAGCTCGGCTGGAGTCCCTTAGTTCTCCAAGTCAATTTATTTTGAATGTCAGGTGAGCAAAAGTCTTTTTGCAATTAAGTTGCGACATTCACAATTCTCTAACCGCAGTCTGGAAGGAAAAATGGAAAATACGCTTCGTTTTTTTTTTTTTTTTTTTTTTTTTTTTTTACATTCGTAAAACAAAAGAAATATATAAAAATGGTTATATAGTGTTAAACAATCTGTAATCATCTCACAACGTTCCCCTTTTGTTAAAAAGCGTAATTATTTCGCTAGAGATCTTTGCCTTCAGTATGTCTCGTGAGTGTCAACATTTCCAGGCCTTTTTTCCTCATGTGTCTTAGAAATTTCAACTCTTTCTAATTTTATGTCTAGTTGTCCTTTTTTGTTTCCATTTCTATAAATCTTCCCCGTTGTTTGCACGCTCCGTCCATGAAGCACTGAAACAAAATTTCACTTTTTTCGTCGACAGAAAACCCACCCTCCTTAATATTTCCATTGGAACTCTTTCTTTCCATAAAACTTTTCAGTGTAGGCAAGAAATAAAGTGTTATTTTTGTTTAAAAACAAAAAAAATCGTCATATTTTTTTATATAACAAGGAACATAATGGAATTTTGCCATTACTAATGAAAATTGTTTTCGGCTAATTGAATTTGATTACATTTAAACGAAATTTTATTTCTTCCTCAAATTGACGTTATTTTCATAAGTAGTTTTGTCTAATTATTTCCCGATCTTTTTATTGGAAGCTTTTGTGGCGAACCGCTGAAAAGTAATCCACACTTTGAAAATAGGGAAAACTTTCCAACGGTATCATGTTACTTATTTTATTAGATGGCTAAGTTTCCCAAAAAATAAAATCAACCGTGTATTGAGTTTAAAGTTTTCAAAAAGGACTGGGGACGCACCTTTTTTATATTGAAACTAAAAAATAAAAATTTACTGCCCCATCAACAACAACATTTGGTGTGGAGGTGGGAGGGAGGAGAGATTGAGCTAAAGGCCAATAAAAGATTTTAGAGCAAGAAAAAAACAAAAGGCGCACAATGGATATTAGGACCAATTTGCTCCCATGGATATTAGGACTTTCTCTTTCTCTCATCCTCTTTCTCTCTCTCTCTTTCTCTCTCTTTCTCTTTCTCTTTCTCTCTCTCTTTCTCTCTCTCTTTCTCTTTCTCTTTTCTTTCTTTTTTCTTTCTTTTTTCTTTCTTTTTTTCTTTCTTTTTTTCTTTCTTTTTTTTTTTCTTTTTCTTTCTTTTTTTTTTCTTTTTTTTCTTTCTTTTTTCTTTTCTCTTTCTTTTTTTTTCTTTTTCTCTTTTTTTCTTTTTTCTCTCTTTTTCTCTTTTTTTTTCTCTTTCTTTTTTCTTTCTTTTTTCTTTTCTTTTTTCTCTTTCTTTTTTTCTTTTTCTCTTTTTTTTTCTCTTTCTTTTTTTCTTTTTTTTTTCTCTTTCTTTTTCTTTTCTTTTTTCTTTTTTTTTTCTCTTTCTTTTTTTCTCTTTCTTTTTTTTCTTTCTTCTTTTTTCTCTTTTTCTTTTTCTCTTTTTTTTTCTTTTTTTTTTTCTCTTTCTTCTTTTTCTTTTTTTTTTTTTTTTTCTTTCTTTTTTCTTCTTTTTTTTTTTTTCTCTTTCTTCTTTTTTTTCTTCTTTTTTTCTCTTTCTTCTTTTTTTCTTTCTTTTTTTTTCTTCTTTTTTCTTTTTTCTTTTTTTTCTTTTTTTCTTTTTTCTTTCTTTTTTTTTTCTTTCTTTTTTTTTCTTTTCTTTTCTTTTTTTTCTTTTCTTTCCTCTCTTTCCCACTACACTTTTTTTCTCACCCCTCTGCATTTTCCCCCTACTTAGATTATTACATTACCAGTATTAGAATTCTAATCTTAAAAAGGCTCCTTCTAACTCCATTTAATTAAAATGGTATATTTCTTTTCGATACCCAATTAATTGCATAACTCTTATTTATGGTTATTTTTCTTTTTGTTTTGCGCGAAGACCTGGCTAATTAATTTGCTGTTAAGAATAGAGAATAAAAAAGAAGAAATCTCCAACAGGTGATTAGTTTGTCTCCTGTCACGTGTTTATCAAGGAAACGGGTCGGATGGACTTTCAGACTTGTAGCAATAAGTTAATTCGTCGCTAATTACTCTTTCCGAGATGTGATAATCGATAACATATTTGACTCATGAAACTAGCAACATGTAATCCCAAATATATGACCTTCTATGATTCTATATAAGTAAAGAATACCACGGTTAATGCCTTTTAGAAAGAATGTTAGTGTTTAAGTAAAAAAAACAAATTCGAACTCATTTGGCTGGGTCCATTTTTTTGTGCTTCTTATTGTTACGCTGCCTCACATCACACCCATCCAGACAGTGTGTGTGTGAGAATGAGAATATATTATGTATGCTGAGCCGCACGCACGCACGTCCTTCTTACCTATTTATCTATTTATTTTTTATTTTTTATTTTATAAAAATCCCAACGCAGTGAGAGAGTAAATAGTCCGAAGTGCAAAGAGGTGGGGAAGAGAGGGAGACAAACTTTCTCGTAGATGACAGCAATATTGTCCTTGGAACATGAGTTCGCCTGACAGTCGCATTTCCTGTTTAGCGTAAAAAACGTAGACGATTTATAAACGCTATGATAATTGCTCATACAGATATATAAGACAATGGAAGGTATTTTTATAATACAACATGAAATGCTGACTTGATAGACCGATCTGAGCTTCAAGGATTTAAATGTAAATGACATGAATTGTTATCAGTTTTCCACATCTACCGAGTTATCATTTTCTTTTCGTAGCTGAGAAAGAAATCCTCTCAATTTTTAGTCACAATTTTCAATTCTCCAACTTGATTTACCCGCTGTCATAAACAATGGCGCAATAATGTCAATTCGAACAAGCCGAAAAATTGTTCACTTTTTTAAAATGAAAAGGTTAAAGTCCTCGAAAGAGAAACATACTGAAACTACTAAAAAAATCCTCGGTAACAACGAATATTCTGTCTGTATTTTAGGGGCGAGGAGTTATCTTTATTTAAATACAGTGAAACCTGGGTTTACGAATGTAATTCGTTACTGAAGGCCGTTCGTAACCCGAAACTATTTTTCCAATAGGAATCAATGTAGAGAAAAACTGTCACAGTACAATAAAATTGGAAAAGAAAAGCACAACACAACACACGAATGTGTACAACACGGTGGTTGACTCAGAAATTTTGTTCGTTAACCGAGACATTTTCATCTCGAATCTTCTGTTCGAAAACCGATTTTTTCGACATGTGAGACGTTCGAGAACCGAGGTTGCACTGTAATTTACAGGGACTATTACTCTCCTCTTCATTATTATTACAACATTTCGACCGACAAGCACCCAAAGAAGACCGTAGGCCACAACGACCGAACCGTTGTGATAACAAAGATGAGGACAATAGTCCGAGGTGCAAATAATGTTTTTATCACATAAATTTTATTACACTTTTCATTATCCTATTTTGTATTTAGATCCTTATTGTGCCTGATTTATACCAACTTTAGGTACGAGTTTTTGCTGTCTTGTAATTTTGACGTTTCATTGTACTTGTAAAATATTGATAATTTTATGTTGCTTTGCATTTTCTTTGTTTAAAATTTGAATTAAAATTAAAAGTAACTTTGATCTTTTGCCTTATTCCCTTACTATAATTGAAAACATAACGAAATTTTCCTGTTTCTTAATCCTGTAACTGGCTTTTTGAAAGCATCTTTCGTTATTTTTATGCGACTTCTGATTTAGTTTTGTCTGTAGAACAATTGTCCTTTTTGTTGTTAACTAAACCAGACTTTTCATTCGTTTTTGGAGAGCAATGTCGGCCGTGTACTTTTTGGTGCCAGACAGTAATTTTTTCATTGCATGTTGATTTCTTGCTGAAGTCTATTGTATATGGTTGTTTTTTTTTCTCTCTCTCATATTAAGAAATGGACAAAGTCCGACAATTTATTTATTAAAGACATTCAGGCCGGTAAATGTTATTTAATACTGTTTATTATAAACAGAGCATTTACTTAAATACTTGTATCTATAAAAAGAACGTTAAACATAAAAAATGTCTTTAATAAATATATATATATATATATGTTTCAATCGCCGTAAACAAGTACAATTGTCCGCGTTTTTGTTCGCGTTTCTTTCTCTCTCGCCCTTCTCAGTCTCACTGTGTTGCAGTAAACTAAACAATTTGTTAGATAAAACTAAAACCAAATCTCTCACAAGGCCACAACTCTCGCCAAGGGTGAAACTCTTTTTCACGCGTCACCAGTCCAGTTCTCAACCGCAAGTATAAGATCACATCGAGAGTTTTGATGACCTTTCATGTCAGGTAGTTTTCCCAAAAACTGGTTTGGTGTGCTTCTCCCATTTGTTCTCTCATTTCTACTGTCCACCAACCTTTGTGTGTGGGGGTGGGGGTTAACTCGCCTTCCTAGAGCAGTGGTTATTTCGTTCGACGCACTAATTTCTTTGACACTCTCCACTACTCCATATGCCTGTACGGAACTGTTAACGTTCATAAATGACTGTAGGACACGTCACTGGTGCACCTGTTTGCAAGATACTCTCGAAGAATTTACCTGGGATAGTGATTCCAATCCTCACTGGATGCGCCACAAGGGTAGCCTTGGCTCAGTTTAGTAAATAAATCCATGGCTGTTTGCCATAGCATAATGTTTAAGAAGACACTAAGTTATAAAATTAAATAAAATAGATTTAATCAGGTTGTGATGTAATCATTCAAAATGATACCCAGGATATTGATCTTCTAAATGAGCCTATATATATATATATATATATATAATGGAAAAGAACGAACAGTAAAATTTCAGCATTCAAAACATTAATTTAAAACGGCTCAATACAAAAGTAGAGCCATAAATATTTATTATGCACTGTTACATTAGAACATGTACATACCCACTACAAAACTGTACATCTTGTTTCAACGTTAAAAATTAACGTTTCTTCAGGTGGGAAATCACGAATGTATATAATACACAGATCAATTAATCCTCTCATTACTACTGAATATCAATACTGATCTTGAGCCAAACTACACTTTTTTTCTGCTAGAGTTTTAGGCATGAAGCGTTATTTACATTTAGTCCTCCTCGTCCTCCTGTTATTTATTTTATTTATTCCGGCCTTTTTCAGGTGTCTGTCGATCTGGCTAACCTTTTCACAGTCTGAATCTGTACTACCCAACCTAAAGGATGAACTCATAATAATTATGAGTTCTATCCCTGGGCTGGGTGGGCGATACAGACTCGGGTCCACTGGAAACACCACAAGTAGGACTTAAAAGACCAGGTGCCTCTATACATGAACAGAGGGAGACCAATTTACAGCTATAGATTTTAAAAAAGTGTTTAGTTCAAAATTCCATGAATGTTACGATGATCGATATGCACAACGCCCGTACAGTGACGTTTGCTGATGTCCGGGGCGGGGCGGGGTCAACCCCTTGATTGTATGCCCCTAAGATTCGGCTTCTAATCCGGTAACGCTTTATCAAAACATGGATCTACATTCACACCAGCTTGTGTAAGTGTAAGGCGCTTGTACAATGAAGTTACCAATTTCATATTCATGATATCCCGATATGGATACACCCTCTGCCCCCCCCCCACTATTGTGCCCGTCAGGATAACAAAGATTTTTAGGACATTAATCCGAATATAAATAAAGTAAATGATAACTACTCGGCCAAGAAATTCAGAAATTACATTTTAAATAACCATTTTTACAAAGATGAGGACATTAACTCGAATGTAAATAACAATGTTTGTATTTAATTGCACCTTAGACCTTGTTCCTTGTACCGTATTTTTAGTTAAACAGTAAATTGTAAATAGGTCGTCTTCTTGTCCTATTTATCATATGCCTCTCGAGTTATTTTTCTTGTAAACTTTGTAGGCGTTTACAAAGTTAGTTGCGGTGTAACTTAGTAAATAAATTATTTATCAATACAAAAGACAAATGGCTCATCTTTTAGAATGTCGAGTTGCCGGAAATTGATATTTAGCCTACGAAAGCGCTGAAATATTACAAGACCTGTTTTTACGTTATATTTAATTCGGTCACTAGTATTTGTTCCATATCGGCGAATTTTGGCGAGACACTTGTTAAAAATAAACTTTTTATATCATCTGGCTTTTTGATATGTTAAAAAAAATGGTGCCCTACAAAACTTATCAGATACATTAAGAAACCTACATTAGGTTACTTGTTAAATTGGGACGTCTTTTTTTTTATTGGGAAATAAAATATACTTAAGTTGGTAACTCTTTTTTCTCCCTTCTGCATGCACTTAGCAGATGTTAAACAATAACGATGAGTGTCAGTGAGTGTTCAGTGTTTTAGAACTGGGTGCTCACGGCATCTCTCTTTCTCGACATTCCGGTCTCCCTCTCTCTCCACGACGTCTCTCTCTCTCACCACGATGTGTCTCTCTCTCTCCCTCTCCACGATGTGTCTCCCCCTCTCTCTCCACAGCCTCCTCCATCTCTCTTTCGTATATAATCTCCTTTCCTGATACGCCTTTGTTTTCCGCCATAATATCATCATTTATTTAGCGTTCTTTATGCATTCATGATTTAAAAAAAAAACAAATTCATCACATTGTCGTGTGAAGATTGAATTTTTTATAATATTTGTTATTTGAAGAGATTTCCGCAAGTCTACTATTGATACATTTGTAAAAGAACTTCTATGTTCATGTCTCCAGAAATCTCACGATATCAAATGTACATGAAATTCTTTTAGAAAGCTGCAATATAAAAACATCCTGTAATCACGAGACGTTGACCTTCTGCAGTTGGATTTTCTGACAATTTTCTTGTTCAATGTTTCATTTAAACCCTTTTAATTTCCTCAGGGAATTTTACTTTTTTTGGCTATTTCAAACTTGGTGTTTTCTTTCTGCTAAGTTAAGATACATTTTTAGATTTCGTGGGTAAGAGAAAATAAAGAAATTTAAATATAAAAATTTTATTAAAACTTTTTCTTTCAAAAATTTTGTCCTAAATATCAAATTTTTTCTTAACAATGAAGTGTTTGTATTTAAAACAGGAGAACGCACACAATTCATCTTTAAAATTTTCCTAAATACATTAATTCTATGAAAGTGCTAAAATTTTTTAGCTAGACCAAGAAGGGTTTTAAAAATATTTGGTCAGGTTTTAAGAAGTGGGTCAGGCTAAGAAATTTTCAGTAATGTCATAAGCTATATTTAAATTCCTACAGATACATTATTAATTTTATACTTATTAAAATGATATTTTACTATTGTTTACTCGTTACGAGACCCAAGTGCCACGCGAGATAAGGGGTTAATAAATGTGAAGGAGGAAGGTACATATAAGGATATGTAGGATAAATAATAGTGATCAGAAGTATCCTCTCACGATCATGTGACTTAACACTAACAGAAACATTTTGGATGGTCCTGTCAGTGATGCACATGGTCAAAAGAGGGCAAAGCATGTAAACTAGTCATGTAGCTTAAATACATGTTAGAATTATGTAGCTTTGACTAAGAAATGCTGTTCAGAATTTTTTTAAGCAAGAAGACTTTGGATTTTGTTTCAATCAAAAAGTCTTGAAATAAAGAAATGGCATACTTTGATTTGTCTCCATTCAAAATTCCAAATTTATAAAGTGAGAATGATCAATTCATATTTCATCTTATGCCATGGCTAATTGCTTTCATGATTCTACCAAATAATTTATGACAGATTTAGGATTCATGGGGTTATATCATTTTCTTGGATTATTTATCCTTATTTAAATGAAGCTGGAAGAATCTCCCTCCCCCCGTTCTCTCTCTCTCTCTCTCTCAATGCTATGTCTGTATGTATATTTTTAAAGTAAAAAGAGGCAAGAAAAAAATGTTGAAAACTTGTTGCAAACAATGTGCAACTCCATTGTGAATCAAATTAACAGCAAATGTTAAAAAATTAAATTTAGGATCTTAACATTTGTTTTATTTTTGCTTTTTTTTCATTTTCATAATCTACGTTGCAATGTTTTTTGTTTTTTTTTAATCTTTATATATATATATATATAAATAAGTGAAAATAAGCATCAAAACTCCCCCACCTTTTTAAACCTGTGTAATATACATTTTTCTGCAACTTTTTCCTCATTTTTTACAGATTAAATGTGTCTATAGCAAAATTGGAAAGATGTTAAATGTGATAGAAACTGTTGAATAGAAAAACTGAAAACAAAAGAATTATGTGTTAGTAATCAAAAATTAGCTTTTCTTTTTATGTTAATTTAAAGTCTCTTTCCCTATTTGGCCTATCAAGGAGAATGGAATCGGTAAATTGAATTTAGATTTATTTTTCCCCAGCTTTCCCATACTGGACTCCAAGAAGTGAATTTGGTTCAAATATTTGAAAACCCAACTCTACTGACTTATGAATTAATTTTATTCTCATTAGAAGCCCAGACTACCTGAGTTTATTTTAAACATAGCTGCAAAAGTTTTGTAAATGCTTGTTTGTAGGAGAGACTTTGTAAATCACAGATAGAATAATAGTAATGCCTTAGAACAATACTCAGTCAGATGCCACTAATTCCCATATATATATTTTCCTTTACCCATCATGTGATCTAATTGAAGATGATGCTGATTGTGCTTGCTCTCTGGCGATCCATGTTCAAACCCAAGTGTCAGCAGTGACACTTTATTCTTATATGACAAAAAGTCACTAAATTGAGAATTTTGTAGCACCGGGATTTTGAAATGAATTCCTGCTCTATCTGGAAACCAGTTTTTCCAACTCACTTAAATCAACAATTCCATCCTTACTGCTAGTACCATGTAACCTGTCACATGTTACTTTGAGATGGGTACTGTCAAGTCCCTATTATATCAAGAAACTCTTAGATGTACCTAGAATAGTACCCTAACCATTTACAAGGATTTGATTTTGGAGTTGAGGATTAAAATAAAAATTTGCATTGCATTAACCAATAAAATTTGTCTCGTGCTAGTTGGGAAGGAGATGGGCGATGTCATGTAACTGCAAAGACTCAGCCTGGTACCCTACTGATCTTCTTGGCAATTTTGTGTTGAGATTTTGAATATTTTTTTATTTTTAGTATTTTGTTTGCTCTCAAATGAGATGGTTCTTTAGGTCAAAGGTTGTCAGTAATCTTTGAAATTGTTGAGGGGGTAAAAAAGATGTTTTTATTTAATGTATTTATTTTGTCAGGTTTATTTTTTTTTTTTTTTTTTTGTGATTAACTACCAGTAATTTTTATTATTTTTCACTTAATGTTCATTTCTGACATGAGATTTCATTTGCTTTTGTTGATGAAAATTCAAATTTGAAAATGAATTTTTTTTTTTTCTGTCTATTAAAACAAAAAATGGCCAATTGTAGCACAGATGTTTATTGATATGCTTGCATTAGAGAGTGGGGAGCCCAGTTATAAATAGACATTTGTACCTTTTGTTTTTCTTTTTTTTTTTTTTTTTAATTTATTTATTTTCTTTTTTCTTTTGTAGCTGAAGCTGTGACTGACCTAGAAACATGCAGCATGCAAACAAACTGCAGGTCATGCATTACATTTTCCCAGAACTGTTCTTGGTGTGACCAAAATGTGAGTCATTTGCTTTTATTGTTTTACAATAGAGAATAATTTTTAGTATTATTTTATTGTTAGTTTGTTCCAAGTTATTGTTGTGTAATCTCTTATTATTCCCACAATCTGTTCCAATACGTTTCATTATGGCTGATAAAACTTTCCAACAGCAACAACAATAAATTGGGTAGTACATGTAACTACAAGGGAAATAATGATATAATCAAGATGTTAACTTTCCATGCTACCTTAAACAAAAGGTTTGGAAGGAAACTCCTCCCAATATGAAAAAGAGTGATAACTGTTAGTGAACTTGAGAATTCAAGTCGTTCTCTTAAATAAACTCATCAGATGTAGACACTTATGTGGATGTCATAGATGACATCCAACTCGTTCAGAAATACGTAAACTATCATCTATATACAACTATTTTTTTTAGATCGATGATTAAAATTTCTTCAAGCGAATGAGTCCTTTAGCCTTAAAGAAGACAATCATACTTGTTGACATATAGGACCCACATTATTTTTTTAAAGACAATCATTTGTCAGACCCTACAGTCTGGTGCAAAAAAAATCATAAAGAGCTTTACCAAATGAACAAAAGCCATATCACTTGAAAACTTCCAATAGCAGCAACAACCAAAATGGGTCGTATCTGTAACTGGAAGGGAAAATAATGATATAATCAAAATGTTAGCTTTCCACACTACCTTAAACAAAAAGTTTGGAAGGAAACTCCTCTCAATATATGAAAGAGTGACAACTGTTATTGAACTTGAGAATTCAAGTTATTCTCTTAAATAAACTCATCAGATGTAGACACTTATATGGATGTCACAGATGACATCCAACTTGTTCAGAAATATGTAAATTATCTATATACAAATGATTTCTCAGATCAATGATTAAAAATATCTTCAGGCAACTGAGTCATTTAGGTTTCAAGACAATGACAGGCATTACAAAATCAAAGATTTTACCAAATGAACCAAAACCACATCACTTGAAAACTTCCAACAACAACTAAAATGGTTAGCACATAATGATATAATCAAAATGTTGACTTTCTACACTATCGTAAGAAAAGCTTTGGAAGGAAACTCCCATCAATGCTCGGAAGAGTGATAACGGGTGACCTTAAAAGTCTAATTAGATTTTATAAATTTCAATTGGCAGTAAGGTCAACTGTTCGGTCAGTGCATGTCAAATGTTTCCCATATGGAAATGGATAATTTTTCCATTAATGCAAGCAGTTGAGATAAAGAAACTAGCAGATAGAGAAAAACTAGCCTATATTAGGTTGGTGTAAAATAAATACCATTTTTACTTTTGATTAATGGAATATATTGTTTTTCACTTGAAACTTTCTCTCTCTTTTCAGGTGTTTAAAGTTTTTCATTCTTTTATTTCTTGTCTTGTTTCAATACTTGTGTATCTTATTTCAATAGCTTATAGATATTGAAGCAAAAATGATTTTCAAATTATGACACTCCAAGACTTTAAACTTTGCCATTACATCATTGAGGCAGACCATAATATGAATTTGGGGGCTGGAACCTGTCTGCTTTCTAAGATAACTTACATCCAAAAACATGTTTATCACTCGACAAAGAAGAACATGAAAATTGGTGGGGAGTTGAAGTCGAAGATATCTGGAACAAATTAACAAAATGAAGATAACGCACACTTTGACACTTGTTCTTCTATAAAGATGACATTTTCTTGTTCATGTCATTTCTGTATGAGGATTTCAAATTTTATTAGACATTATTTCCAATTCATTTTTCTTGTCTTATGTTCTACATTGACTAAGTTATGCTATTTAAAAAAATTGATTAGAAATATTGAGTCTCATTCAAGAACTGAGAAAAACATTTTATAAAATATAAACAAAACAATTGAAGCATTTTCCAAAATTATCAAAAATAAATTATTTACCCAAAATTATCACGTATAATTTCTTGTTATTTTTTTTTTTTTTTTAATTATTGAGTAAAACAATTGAAATTTGAAGAAACTAAAAATTGTTTCAGAAAATATGGAATCATTTTTATGATGTTGTTTCGTGAAATGGAGAAGTTCACAAAATTTACTTATTGTGCATGTTATATGTAAATATTAACTAAATCTGACATGTGACCAAATTTATATACTTACTAGTAATGGCATGAGGCTTGCATGTTAGCCATTGCTGGTATACTGTTGCATATAAACTGTATTCTTTTATCACACGCAGCATGGGTCAGAAATTATTTATTTCAAATTTTAATGCTTATATTAAAGTATAAAATATAATTTTATTATAAGATCTTTCTGATTTTTTAAAGATTTTGGAGTCAAAAGAACTCAGAAATTAAGTTTTAGCCCACTGTGTGCACATATATATCGTTTAAAATTTTATTATATTTATAGAAGAGTGTCCAATATTGGAGATAGAGCATTTATAAATATAGACAGTGCAAGATATAAGAATTAACACAGCATGATGACTGTCAGGTTTGCACTTCAATATGGTGTTCATTCTATATCCCCACCCCTCACAACAGTGTTGACATAGGGATCAACACTCCATGAGGACACTGTTTCACACTTTAATGTGATCTTCCATAATTTTAGCAAAATTGGCACGGACCAACACTCCATAGTAACTATGTCTGAACTGTCTATATCTATAAACACACTAGCTCTAAGATTGGTCACTCTTTTTCATATATATATATATATATATAATGCAATGGTTGTCACTACAAAAAATGTTTCAATTTTGGCTGAAATTGTTTATATTCACTTTGCACTATGCCCTTAGGAAAGGCATGAACTCATTTCCTTGTGCTATGTTCCATCATTAAATATCTTGGTAAAAAAAAGAAATGCTTGGTTACTGGCATGCCATATTGGCTGATTGAATTGTGAGTACTTTGACAAAAAACTTATAACAACACAAACGACAGTACCCCACTCCCCAAAAAGCTTCTACACTCATTGTAAACTTCAACAGATGCCTATATATATATATATATATATATATATATATATATAAAAATCCTGCTTTCTAGTCTTTTTTTAAAGTTTTCTCTTTTAACATAAGAGAATGAGTTTCAATGAGTTGTTAAAAAATCTCTTTAGCTCTTTAATGTCCTTTTAAACGTCATACAAACTTTGCAAAATATATCTGATCATCATTGAACATTTGATCTTTCTTTTCTGCAAAGTATTGAATATAAAGTTGCAATCAATTGTCTTTAAATTGTAAGAGGTGGACTCAAAGAGACTGTTTTACTTTTCATTATAACCTGTATAATAGATAAGGAAATTGAACATAGAATAGACTAAAATGGAATTGTGGGTAGTTTTGCTTCAAATTATTAACTTAAACACCTGTGTCATGTTCTGAAATGGTCTCATCAGATTGAGACTTTCATATGGATGTTACTACAAATGTAAAACTCATTAAGAAAAAATCTAAATTATCAGCTGTATACAACCACATTCTCAGTTCAATGATTAAAAATGGCTTTGAGCAAATCAAACCTGTAGGCCTTAATGCAGATCATCCTTTTAACCTTGGGGTTTGGCGCTATAGAATCACAAACAAGGAACTGTACCAAATAATAGAAAACAGATCACTTGACTTACAACAACTAAAATATCATGTGGTGATTTTGTAAGCATGACTTAAATGTGGCACAAGACTAAAAATATTAGGCACCCAGTGAGGATCAAACTCTACAGTCGTAATTGATCTAACAAGACAAGCTTGCTAACTATTACATCATGTCGGGGTGCCCTAATGGTGATTTTTCAAAGTGTAGCTTAGATGTGGCATAAGGCCAAAAGTATGAGGCATCCAGTGAAAATCAAACTCACTATTCAGTCATAATTGATCTAGTGAGACAAGCTTGCTAACCATTATTTCACACAAAAGTGCCCAAAATGGATGTAACTTCAAGAGAAAATAATGGCATAATCGAGATGTTGATGCACCACATTACTTCATAACAAGGGTTTTCTTCTTAACCTTTTATAAGACTCGAAAGAACAATAAATCATTGGACTTGATGAACTTATTTTCTCAAATGTTATAGGAGAAAGATTTTATAAGCTTCAACCGAAAGCAGCATTAACTGCTCAGTCAATGAATGCTGAATGTTTCCTTATAAGGAAGCGGCTGATATCACTATTACCAATGTTGCTAAAAATTACCAAATGTAATTTAGTCCTTCTTGCATGTCTTCCTACTGTGGTCTTGGGCCATACTAAATTGTGTAGAAGACTTCTTAAAAAGTCAGGTACCATATGTGATACACACTTGGGTGATCATGTCTCTTTCGATTCATGTCTGACTAGGCAGATTTCCTGCAGTAGGCTTCCATTTCTTTCTATGAGTGACTCATTACCAACCAAGGCTATAGAACACTGTCTATTCTGCTATTCTCCCTATTGCTGGGGAAAGAAGTGATGGATTCAGATCTTTCCTGAGGGTATTTGTATGGAAGTAAATGTAACAAACCAGAATTTCTCATTATAAGCAATTATTCATTATAACACTTCCCAGATCCAGAAAACTGTTACTCAGCAAATTTACATACAGTGTAATTACTGTTAATTGAAATAATTGTGTAAACTCTTGGCAGTGCAAATTGTATGGAATTTGAGATAATAATAGATTAACTTCTTTTTAAGTTTTCTTGATTTTGTAGATAGAGGATTTTGGTAATAACATTTTCCAGTTGCATTTTTCTTTTTATCCCTTTTTAGCCTTACAATGAATACCGATGTGATTTGAAAGAAAACCACCTTGCCAATGGCTGTAAGAACATTAATAATCCAAAGTATCAACTTGATTTTGTAAAGGTTTGTTGTCCAAAACTCACTTTGCATGTCTGTGTCTATTTATTTAAAGCACATCTATATATTTATTTCCAAGATTTGTTCAAACTTCTCAAAATGAAAATGAATTTGTCAGAATATTTTTTTGCTTCCTTTTGTTTGTTTTTTTTGTTTTTTGTTTGTTTTTTTTTTTTTAAATATTTTAATCAATTTATCCTAAGCAGGGTGATAATGCCACTAAGATGCAATGGGCTACAGTTTAAATTAAACAGGAAACAAAGGATAAAACTCTACTCCTGTTCAAAGACCAAGTAGAGGTGTGAACTGGATGATATATATGAGTGGAGAGAGAGAGAGCTGTTTTGGTCAGCCATCCATCATTAATGCATGTTTTATTAGACAATACTGACAATATAATATTAATTTTTTTTATATCTTTCTTGTATACAAACAAGTGTTTTCTTTTCCAGACTTTTCTACACTATGTGCAGAAAAGTTCACATACAAGAAAAAGACTTTGCTTTGTCAGTATTGTTTAAAAATGTATAAATTATCCACTTGAAGATTGTAGAATGGATTGGCCAAAACATGCTAACAATAAAAAACCTTACAAAGAATCCATTCATTAGTTTGGGCAACTCTTGGAATCGCATCTTCTATGTGTTTGTCATTCATTTTCTTCTTTTTGTATCAATCTGTACCTATGCACTTATGTTGGTTGGTTTTATTTAATTTTGTTTTTCTGTGTCCATCTTTCTGCCTCACAACAATGAGGAAGAACTTCTCCCAAGTGTACTTTATAAGAATCATTTACATTATACTTATAAAATCCTGCCTGATCAGAAATGCTCTTCTCTTAAGTCATGACCACTATCCAGAGTAAGGAATTTACATTATTACCTACAACAGTTCAATCTACTTTGTAACATAAGCCTTAATCGTTGAGCAATGACAATTCTTTTTTCCTGTATTTGTCAGGCTCAACATAGAATTTATTAACACAGTTCAGTAATTAATCAAATTTTTTAAGGCCAAAATGCACAATTCAATTTACTTATCAAATACAACCATGACATCAATTAGATATGAATAAACTTGTTTTAGAAGTGAAATTGTTTCATATATATATATATATATATATATATATATATATATATTGAGTGTGTGTTTTTTTAATCTTTCAGATTAAAGCAAGTTTTCTTTTGTAATTGATATTTTAGTGTGAATGTTTAAAGCAAAGTAATGCTAATTGGTTAGAAATAAAAATCTATGATCAAAGAGTTTAAGGACACTGCAATTATTTTTCATTTTTAACTGAATAAACAATCTGAACAAATGAAAAAATACACTCACTCTCCTAGGACTAACACAAATCTTTTAATACTGATTCACATTTCTGGGGAAGCAATGATTTTTTTTTTTTTTTTGTTTCTTGCAGAGGAATTGTTTTTTTCCTAATATTTTACCATATTGTATTGGTTCAAAACAAAAGTTCATAGTGTTTATTTTTTTTCTTTAAAGTGAATTTCAAAGACACTATTTAGATATGTGTACATAGATTTAGCCAACCACATATGTATTGCTCTGTTTTACTAAATTTAACTATCTTTTGAGCCACCTTCATGATTCAGTTCTCTCAGAAATTTGCATCATTCCAGGTGATGAGCTGGTCTAAGATTTTTACAGGCTTCCAGAGTATTTAGTTGAGATCAAAATAAGTGATAATACACATAGGTGCAAGTGTAGAGGAGTGTGATGTGTGTAGTAGGACATCCAATTTCTGCTGGGCCTGCAAAGAGACATTTGGACAATTCTGGCACTTTTTGTCAATTGCTTTTAATTGATTCAATTGGGAACAGTACTTGTCTGAATTCAATGTCTGATTTTGCAGAATGTTTTTCGGATACATGGTGCTCTTCTAGTCCCATAACAACATAAATTGTCTTTGAATACAGACTGAATTTTGGTTTTGTCAATGGTGGCTCATTTTTTCTTCAAGATTTTTTTCACTTCACATTGTGTTATAATGTTCATAAAGTTTGTGGTTCTGGTCAATAATATTCCAAGAAAAACACTGGAACAAAAGATTAGTGAAGAAATTGTTTAATCACCTGGATTAGTAATACAATAATAGCAAATACTGTAGTTAGTGTGGCTAATATGTATGACCCACATAGCAACCATTGTTCCTATGAGCAGTCGGTCCACTTATAGTCAATGGACAAGTTTATCTTGAACAATTAATGTAATGAAGGTCAGTCATCTTTCTACACAATAGATTGTTTTCTCTGACTTGCCAATTGGTATTTCAGACAATTATACAAAAAAAACTCACAATTTTTCAATATGCTTTTTGATATAGAGTAGCACAAATGTTCAATTCTATTAGACATTTTTACTATCCCTAATTTCCACAATACAGAAGATTAAACCATTAATGTCCAAATACCCACCAGGTGTGTTGATGCTCTGTACATCCAGGCAGCCACCAGGTGTGTTGATGATCTTTACATCCAGAAAGTCACCAGACACAATGCAGACGGCCCTTTGAATTTTTTCTCTGATAATGAACAAAGTTTTTGATTGCAATAATTTCCATTCTAATAAAACAAGTCTCGTTAAATTGAGTGATAGTGTATTATTTAAAGAGAAATCAGTGACAATATTTAAATTATTCTTATTTAAAAGGTTAAAAATGTTTCAATTTTGATATGTTAAAAAATTACATAAAAAAAATAATTACTTTAAAATTTGCATATTTATGTTTCTAAATTGAGACCACTGTATACATTATGTGTGCAGATATGGATAGATTACTTCAAAAGGGGGATGTAGGTTTGATCCCTGCTGAAGGACACATTTTTTTCATTTAAATTTCTCTAATGCAGATACACATAATGCACATTGTTTAATAAATAAAAATCATGTCTTATTTCAAATAAGATGTGTCCACTAAGAAATGACATTTGAAGTAGGATTAAAAATAAATCCATTAAACAAATCATAAAACAATTAATTTAAACCATCAATGTAATAAATTAATTCTTTAAAAATTGAGATATATATAGTTTTAAGGTGTGCTATATTTATGGGATAAATTGCTCAATATCAGAGTGTATGAAAATATAAATATAAAAGTGAACATTGAAGTCAACACTCAGAGCTGACAGGCTGTTTCATGCTAGGCACAATCGTTGGCCTGATGATTGTGTATAGCATGAAACAGCCTATTGCCTCTGTGTTGATTTCAATGTTCACTTATATATATATATATATATATATATATATATATATGAGAGAGAGTAAATAGGAGAACATTTGATATATTTAGCTACACTTATTGTTATCTTCATCAGAAATATTTTTAGGGATGGGTAATAAGAGGACATATGAAGAATATTTTGGTATTTCAACTTCTCAAACAGCATCAAATTCAAAATACCAAAACATTTTCTTCATATTTTGTGGTCCCAAAAAATTTCTAATGAAGTTACAATAAAGGTAGCTAAACATGTCAAATCTGTTCTTTCTATTCATTATTAGATGATATTTGAAAAGTCCTTTTTTTTGTGTATGATTATGCAGTATGAAATGTCATGTTGGTAATGCATTGTTGAAATTTTGAATATTTAATAGATTTTAAACTAAAAAGTTAACATATTTGTTTATGACTTTTCAAAGTTGAAAGTCATGGTTGATCGATGACAGGAAATGTGATGATTTCTATCTCTGTTATTGCCAAATCAACTTGGCATCTCTTCATAGACGGGTCAATTAATTGCTAATAGGATTTAATTTAAATCTATTGGTGTTGGCAATGGGTTGAAAACTAATTGACAAGTTTTAATTTTTCTCTGATAAATTTTGGCAGATTCTGAATTTGTATAAATCATTCGATCCTCAAAGAGCCATGACCCCTTTTTTCTTTTTTTCTCTTTTGCTTCTCTTTTCTTTTCTTTTTTTCTTCTCTTTTTTTCTTCTTTAACATCCTGGAGGTGGTTTTGTTTGCAAATCAAAAAATCTATCCTGCCACTGCAAGTGACTCAGATAAATGTTTGAATTTTGTGGTTGTGTTGTCATATCCTGCTATAACAACAAAATGATCGACTGAAATTAAAGTTGTGCAGTAGAGGAGCCTTGAAAAACAATGAAGTGTAAAGGGAAGTAGTGATTAATGCAGTGGGTTAAAGGTTAAGATCCATTTTTAATATTCTCATTGCCAGGTGTCTTACCCCCCCCCGGGTGTGGGGTCCGCATTGTCTGCTCACCTATCTACATTCTTTTTCTCCTTTTTAAAGTGTTATTACTTGACATCCATTAAATTTTTTCTAACCTTTTTTTTCCTCCTATCGTCTTCTAATTCATTCACCTAGTTCGTTTTTCTTTTCTTTCTCTCTCTCTTATGATCTTTATCTTTTTTAATTCTTCCTCTCTAGCAATATGACAGTAATCCACTCAAGTTATCTCTCATGTCTTGCATCCTTTTTTTCTTTTTTCTTGTTTAGCTTTTCCTCTCTGTAATTGTTACTTATTCTTTTCCTCTTGTTCTCTAACTTTCTTTGCCTAAAGCATGGCTGATGCTAACCTCCAGGAGAGCAACTTACTGTGCCTTCTTGATCTCACATTTTCTACTGACATGAAGCGAAGTGATTATATTGAATCAAATGCTAGGTCTGCTGCTAAGAAAGTTGGTTCACTGTGTTGTACCAGACAATTTTTCTTGTCAGAATCCATCTTGCACATTTATAAATCTACCTTTGATTGAATATGGCTGCCATATCTGGTTTGGTGCTTTGATTATATCAGCAAAATCCAAAGAAATGTTTGTAATGCTTTCAATCCCGTTCCGACATCTCTGCTCCAGTCACTCTCCCACCGCCCCGACGTCTCGGCTCCAGTCACTCTCCCACCGCCCCGACGTCTCTGCTCCAGTCACTCTCCCACCGCCCCGACGTCTCGGCTCCAGTCACTCTCCCACCGCCCCGACGTCTCTGCTCCAGTCACTCTCCCACCGCCCCGACATC